TTGTACAAAACACGTCAGACCACACTTTGCAGTGAATAATATTATTGCACCCCAACTGCCTAGAAGAGACGCCAAACTCCTGGAAACGTCTAAAGACGAACAGAAAAACGATCGGTTGATGTCCGAAATAAACCATACGATTGAAGGTTAAAGAAATTAGGCCTATTCACACCTAGCTACCGTCTGCTAAGGGGGGATTTGATTACAGCCTACAAAATAACAAATCACAGGAATCACCCAAACAAAGGTGTTCTGCCATCGTGGAAATCCCAAAAGGATAACTCATTAAAGGGCAAGGACTCGGGTGCGCTCCCAGTCCTCTCCACTGTGGGTTTGCCGTCCCTTGAATCCCTTACCGGTAGATGTAGCTATGGCATCGTCTGTGGATGCCTTTAAGCGAAGACTCGACAATAATTCAGCGACACAAGGACTGCATCGAAATGCCCTATCCCCTTAAAATCGCATACACCACTCAAACAATTAAACTTGTCGTTTTAATTCTTTACATTCTCTACCGTCTTACTCTCCTGACAATTTTAACTACACTTATTATTATTACCTATATATATATATATATATATATATATATATATGTATTATTCATATTATCCTTCAAATTTAATCACTTGACTGTTGTTAAGTTTTCTTTCTTTTTCTGTCTCTTAGTCTGAATAACTTCACCAATTATATCTATTATTATTATCTCTTTTCTTTTGACTACGACACCAGAGGACTAGCTGGTGTAAGGATCAACTCCATTCACAGTAGTAACAGTCTTAACACACCTCATGCTATAAACCACATATAATTAATCTCAGCACTACCCCCTTTTGGAGTCATCCAAAGCTACCACAGTCGAGTGGCAGGACGAGCTACGCAGAAGTTTACCGAAGATCAGGAATTTAAACACAATCAAGAGGCGAGCACAAAGAAATAAAATTAGTTTATACCAGCTCGTAAACTTATTGAAGTCAATTCAGTTTCTTCTCCCATACTTTAGTAACAGAAAAGATTCTGAAACTCATAACTGAAATACAGATGTAATATTACACTCACAGAACATATAAGACTTTCAGCTAAATACATTTGGAGGTCGTGTGCAAGGCGCTCCCATTGAATCTGCTTATTCAGCAGGACAGGAATGGAATGTGTTATTGGCATTAAGATGAATGACTTCGTGCTACTTGCAGCAGATATGCGCTGCGCTCACTCAATCCTTACTATAAAACATGATGAGCGCAAAATGTTTAAGTTCAGCGATCATGTGCTTGCTGCCGTATGTGGTGAGTCTGGGGATACAACTCATTTTTCCGAATATATTCAACAAAATATGCAGTTATACGAGATAAGGAATGGTAGATACTAGTGCGTAAATCTAATAATTTATCAAGGATATGAGCTTACTCCAAGTGCAGCTGCGAATTTCACGAGAAATAATATGGCCGAGTCGCTTCGTAGTCGAGTAAGATGCACAGTTGTAAATTACTTTTATCACCATAGTCCCCGTACTTTGTAAATATGCTGATTGGGGGTTATGATGACCAGACTGGACCAGGACTATACTTCTTAGACTATTTGGCGTCCCTGATAAAGGTGAGTTACCTGTGCTTCTGAACTTCTATCGTTCAGCAAAATCCGTAGCTTATGCGTACTATTTTTTTGCATACATATATTTATATATATGGGATAAATCCAGGATAGCCTCAATAGGTAGGAATTTCTGTGATTGAATAAACTCTGATCCACAATAACTGTAGTGTGGTGACGGGAATTTATTACTTGCTAATGAGACCAGTAAACTATTCCGACGACAGTTAACTTTCGACCAACTCATTATTTTCAAATTTGTATCGTAATCGATAAGGCTGACTCGATCTCGTTTGTACCGTTTTAATTTGGCTTCAGGTGTTTTTCCAATTCCGTAGCTATTTTACTAGTACAATTTAATTCTAACTCAGCCAATATACCCGGATTTTGTAATCCAAGCTGAGCCTTTAATTTAATTGAGAAGGTAGTTTAACAGGAGCAATTTTATACCCCAAAGTCGTGTCTGAGTTGAAAATGAAACTCAAATATGCAAACAATACTGCTTCATGTTTCTGTGCTGTAACCCTAGTTGTGGTAATTTTGTTGAAGTATACCAATAGTCGCAACGAATAAAGACATGAGGATGCCTGAATTCACCGAAGTTTCTGATGCGGAACGGAAAATAATGCGGGGAAATTAAGCACTATATGAATGGATGTTAAAAGTACGTTGTGTATTTTGAGTTGTCTGAATGTATGATTTTGAAAAACAGCATTACTTTTACCAATTAGAGTGCCGGTTATGCTTAAAATGCATATTAGAAACAGATGAACCATAGTGCACAGATCCCTACTAAAGATATGTAGTTAACTATCATGCGAACTTTTATGTGAGTATCACATACAATCCTTAACATGTATACTTGTGTGACTACAAACCTCATTATTCGTAACCATTTTTTATATTTATTGATATTGTGTTCGACAGGTCCCCTTCGCCGTTCATGGATATGGTTCGATGGTTGCCTTGAGTATCTTGGATCGAATGCACCGTCCAGATATGACAGTAACTGAGGCTGTATCGTTGCTACGTTCGTGTATTCAGGAAGTACAAAAACGTCTAGTTATTAACCTTGATCGTTACATGGTTCGCATCGTTACAAAAGATGGTATTGAGGAGCTACCAGACCTGACTGATTTTGCAGTAAAAGCATAAAGTTTATAATCAACCTAGAACCTTTTAAATATTTGTATTGTGACAGCGTGAATTGAACCTGCTCGACTGAAGTGTTTCGATTAAGTTATCTCACTAAGCTTTCTATATCACGCCGCATGATTCTCTTTATTGTTGAAATTGAGTGTAATGCATGCGAATTTTGCGTTCGCATACATTTACATACATCTCATTCGTGTATGCGACATGGCATGAGTAGAGATAAGCAGTGTATTGGTAGAGCGTGCTGACCACTTATTAAGGAAGTTGCATCAGCCTCAATGGACTGATTATTGACGAAATCTCAACAGATACAAGGCTAGTGTAGCGCTTGCCCATTTTCGTCATCTCTGGCGTAGACGTGAACATCAATGAAAGGACGTGTGTACTGCTCAGTAGTTCGCTCCGTCCTTTATGGTTGTGTGATGTGGCCGTTAAAAGTGGAAGACCTGAGAACGTTAACCTTCATTGACGATTGGCGTTTGCCTATTATCTCCCGTATCGTGATATAAAATGGTCGATATGAGTATACGGACGTTAAGCGCAGAGTGTTGGATACAGAGGGCAAGTCAGTCGACGAAGTTGTGAGGTTGCATCGATTGAAATGCCCAGGACACGTTGCGCATTCCGAGCCATCGCCATCCACAACAGACAGTGTTAGCTGATATGAGATCAGGTTGGAAAAAACCTAGTGGGGATCAGACAAAAACTTAGTCTGTCAATAAAATCTATAACAGGTAGTTTGAACCACGTGGGAGGTGTAAACTTCCTGGTTGGGATCCACAGGATAGTAAGAACCAATGGCTGAAGGCAATTGGTGATATGGCTCAAAATCGTTTTCACTGACACAGATGCATTCACCCTTTGTGATTTATAATATTCAATAAAACTCTGTTATTCTTCCATATTGCTATTCTTTTCTCCTCACAGTTATTCATTTTCTCTCTTTTGTCTTTCCTAGTGCGCCACATGGGGTAGGGCACTGCTGCACTTTTGTGCTTAGTTCTATTCTGAGACCCAGTCAGTTGCGTAGACATGGGATGAGTCCACCTACTTAAAGACCACTTAGTTGTTCTTGCATTTGACCATTATCTCTACCGCCGTATCCGAAGGTGAATCACGAACTCACATTCGCATCGGTTTAAGACCCATAGATACTAAATGCTTACCTCCCCACTTAAATTTTATTCGTTAAAAAAATAATTTAAGATTGATTCAGTATTGCTTATCTAATTAGTGGATATGTGCGCCGGTGGCATAGCGGTTAGGACGCTCGGCGACCATACACATGGTCCGGGGTTCGATCCCCAGCCGACACACTCCTTTACCTCTCTAAGCCAGAGATAATGCTGACGAAGAGGAAAGGTTGGGCATGAGGCTAGCACCCCCATCCTGTAAAATAAAGACTGCTACAAAAATTTCAAGCCACTAGCTTGAAGCCCTATGTTCCACTGGAGAACGTGAAGGAAAAAAAAATTAGTGGATGTAGGCGTAATATTCAAGTAGTGGCCAAAGAAAATCAGAAGAAATGTCATGCTGTCCAATTATTTATTATAAGTGCTTTAAAGATGAATGCTTTCAATAGTGAACAAACAGCACTTTATGAGACTTAGAGGAATGGTACCAGATTGCCACATAGCTTTTCAGTAATTAGGAGATAACATAATTATCAACAATACCGGAATTCTTCGGTTGATAAATTCCACGTAAATTTTTTTTAGAAAGTCAAAAAAGTTAAGCAAGAATGTCAAAATGTTTGACAGGATTGCAAGTATTCTAGGCCTAAAAACAAAAGCAAGGCCACTGATACATATTCCGAAACACCAGGGTATGAAGGATAATTGGTATATATTTTTATGGAAATATATACAAATCAAACTGGAGAGTAAACAAATGCAGTGTAGATATTAGTTGCAAAAAGAGTACATTGGTTTGTGTAATATGAAAGACGACTGGGGTTATAGAAGGAAATATCAATTAATGATAAAAAGGCATGTCATTTCCTTGGGAGATATCATTAGATTTGGCACATACAAATAGTTGAAGAAAAAAGGAAATTTGAATGATAAATAAGCGAACTGGTGTGTATTAATTGCTCAAGGACGTGATTTTATCACTGCGCGTTGGTTGAGGTCAAAAAGCGTTAACATCAGGAATAGAATCAGGAATAAAAATATGATCCAGTCGAATGTAAAATAGAGGCACATGATTTATATATATATATATATATATATATATATATATATATATATATATAATATTCAACTCATCATGATACGACGTAAATTATTATGCAATACTGTGTCTTGCATAGCATTGAATACTGTTTCAATATTCCGCCTATCTACAGCAGTTGTGAAGTGACGATAGATCATGCGTTTTCGTACGGGTACAGCGTATGTTAAATTAGCCGATACTGGCGCCGAATTTTGCCTGTGAAGCGATGACCGCCTTGTCGTGCTGTTGAATGATGAATGTGAAAGGCTTGCACGACCACATGTATTCATAAGACGTGTATCTGGAGGTAAATTATGATTAATTAAAGAAGCGAATGTTTCAACCATATATGTTTGAACATCTTGTAAATTATAAGGATCCATTTTTAATGGATAATTGGGGAACTCATCACGAATATTTGATATACGAGCATTAAGTTTTTCCTTGAGGATATCAGTTTTATTGAAAAAAATAATGATAGAAACACGTCTAAATGCGATATGGTTAATTAATCCTTCAAAAACGATCATAGCTTCGCGTAGTTTATTTCGAAATTCCTTCGTCAATCGATCTTGATAATGTTCATCATAATGACTAGAAGCAATTAGGAATAGGACAGAAGTCATATCAGCGAAACACTGACACCATTTACGACGTTCTTTTGTTTGACCACCAACATCAATAAATACAAGCAATGACGAATGAACGTTTATTTCTTCTTCAATAATTGATTCTGTTGGTTTACGTGACCAAACTATGTCCTCATTAGTTGGACGATAATTCTAAAAAGTATGAAATAACATTCTAAATATATGAGGATCGAATATGTGCACGTTTGAACGATATAAGTTATTCCACAACACGTAAATGCTAGTGGTAATGTAAATAGTAACTAAGATGTGATATAAGACACTGCGTATAAAGGCAATTATAGAATGAGATGCAATATAAAAACAAGTGACAAGGTAGGTTTGATTTTAAAAAAATACATAAATGTGAGCGTGTAAGGCGCTTGAAATGGTACTGGTTTCAAGACATACCGCTTAACGTTTTTAATTTTGTGGTGTTTTGTTGATGCATGCTAAAAATCTAGTCTTCTGTCCATATGTACCATAGTTCAGAAGTGTGTGGAAACAAGTGGATGACACACTAATCAATGCATGTATTCTTACTGTTGGCGAATATCATAACACTTAGATGTGAAATAAAATGTAGTATTCTTCAGCGTACACTGCCATGTCTAGTATTAGTTGAAAAGTGAGCGCTTTTGAGATAAGCACATAGTTCTACTGGTTTCGCTGTTCTCCATTCTCCAGACATAAGTAATAGCTACGGTAGAGTATTTTAAATTCTAAACCGAGGAAAACAACTAACTACGTACACCAGAAAGACACAACAGAAATTTGAAAAAAAACTTTTTTGGTGGTGAAAAGCAGAGGAATCAAAACACATGAGTTTCGTCATGTTTCATAGTACTTAGTTGCATGCATAACAGTGTGCTATGGTATCTCTGCTAAGACGCAAAACAAGCGTCTTGGCTTCTACTGCTAGCCAACAACAAACACGTAATTTCAAGTTAGAAACTGGGGCATCTGTTCAATGAGCCCGTGTATGGAAGTGGGACTCATCTATTTAGTCTAAAAAATCAGTAGTATAGAACCAAGCAAAAAAAAAACACAGCGATGGATTGAATCCCAGTGAATTACTCTTAATGTACTGAGAAGTACTGTTTTGTAGACGTATTTATAGACTTTGCATTTGTCAACCAGTAAGTGTTCAAAACCGATCATCACCAATCTGAAAATCAATTGTTTGGTTTTTGAAGCAAATCATTTAAATTGTGACCAACTGCAGAAATTTTATAGTGTAGATAATTTAGGTGAAAAGGTAGTCTTACTGCTAAGTCGTGATTCTTTATGTGGAATCAAAGAGATCATGTTGCTCAGTGACCTGAGATGCCGTCAAAAATGGTTTGGGATCGAAACCAGTAGCAATCACAAAACGACTACTTCTTTCTCAAATGAAAGGTAGTGCAATCAGCGTAATAAATACTCAAGATTAATGTAAGGAAAAAACTTGGACGCAGTGGTAGGGTATAATTCCATTATGGATGAAATTTTAAGTCATACAGTAATATTTACTGATAACGTTTCGAGCAAAGTTTATTGCTCATAACCATACTTACTACTCTGAAGAGCTTTCTTATGCTAAAACATTTTGTCTGTCTATTGATTTTTAATCGAAAGAAATTATTGTAGGTGTATGGTATAAATATTTAACATATTCATGGAAGGGAATTGCATGCAAAATTGATTATATAACTGTATCGGTGGACAAGTGAACAGTCCAAAAGTGTCACTTATCTGAACCACTTGTTTGGACTTCCACATAAATTATCGTTTCAGTGAAAAATCGTAGGCATTTTTGATATACTGGGTATTTTACATCCAACTGTACTCTAGTGAAAATTACTCATCAATAATTAATTTGAATGTGAACTTGAAAATACACTCACTCAACAACCATTGTGTACAAACTCACTACAACGCTTGATTAGTAAAATGATATGACATTTCCCAATAGACGACTATACAGATATTCTAATGGGATTCAACATTTTCACACTCCACAAATAAGACCTCAGAGTAAGGGTAGTAGTAGTTGATGAAGTTGTAAAATCTTAGGCAATAATTATGTTTCAAAGCTATTGCAAAAAGAATTAAGTGGAACAGTAAAGTAACAGATGGAAATCGAAAATTTTTCAGTGAAATGATAATGAACTTTGGAATATTTCTAGAATGTGTGTTTTACCGCATTGATAAAAACTTTTTTGTTTGCATAGTTATATGCCAATATTGCCATCTAACTGCTACCTTATTTAAAACACATCGCTAAAATGTACCTGAGAAAATAACCAAACTAAATTTTAATGTGAAAAAGTGACAGAATTGTTTTTTCAGAATGGTAAATCCCCAAAAGTTATTCAGAATAACTAAATTACAAAAATATATATATATATGGTGTCCAACCGCAAAACCACTTAATTCTGGATTGTTTATCCAAAAGAGAACATTTTTTTACAGTGAGATAATTATAGATGCATAAAAAATGATAATGTGAAAAATATCTTGGATGGAATATTAATAATATAAGAGCATGGAAATCGTTACAAACCATTAGAAGAGAGACAACCATTACTATTATTATTCATTCCTCATGTTCTGATTGGAACATAAGGCTTCAGGAGCATATATCCATTGTACTCTATTGTCTACCATCATTTCCACCAAGTCACACAATTACCCACATTGCCTCTTCACATGACCGCCTTCATGTCGCTCTCGGATACCAAACTCATCCATCTCCATTTCCATCCCTCTGTCTGTTGGTTGGCTGGTTCGCTGCCTGTCAGAGTTCCTTCTTGGTTATCCTTTCCTATCGGTCATCTGATCTTCAGTATGAAGCCAACGAAGACACCTGTTGATGAATGTGTGCAGTACATTGGAAATGCTTTTTGTGATGTGCTCTCCAGGTCTCTGAATGATTGATTCGACATTAATATTGAGATAATATTGGATCTTTATCCTTGCTCTGCGTGTTTTAGATGTTCACACTGATTACAGAGTAATGAAAGTCTGTTTTGCATCCTCGATCCTGCCTGAATTAGAATTCCTCATCCATGCCGGCGGTCTGAATTTGTCTGTCCATGTCAGTTCAAGTTTATTTTTATTTTTGATTACAGCTTGACTCCACACCGTATTTTTGGTACAAGTATGGAATTTTCAGCGTGGATATCGGTAGCCCAAAATTCGCAGGCCAACCGTAGATATCAGGTGTGCGTCGGCGTGGGCTCGAACCTCGGACCATGTCCATGGTCGGCGAGAGTCCTAACCACTGTGCCACCGACGCACAGTTACGACTTCCTTTAGATTCCTCCCATTATTGGGGAGTAGCGCGTATTGTTATTGGTTGTATCTTCACTTCGACCGATGGCTTCTGCCCTGAGGTGGTGGTTGGGATTACATATCCCAACAACCCAAAGTCGCAAAATGGTTGGAAAGAATGTTTCTGTAAGTCCTATCATACGAGAAACGTTGGGTGGAGGGTCTTTGAGGGAGAAGTCTTTTAGTCTATCTAACATATACACCAGTCTTCCCATTTCTTATCACAATTAGGAAGAACATCGGTGACTATAGACAGTCTTGGCTTACCCCTGTCCCACTGTGAGGCACTTGGTATCATACAGCTGTTGAACGATGTCTACGAATTTTTACGGCACCGCACTTCGTAGTGTTGTAGCAGTTGTAAAATTATATCACCCAACGTTGTGAAGGCCTTTCAGAAGTCGATGAGGTTGAGGCAAAGATATGACTTCCATTTTAGGCTTTGCTGGATGATTATATATAACTCTAAAAGTAGATTCGCATGTGAATTTGTTTGATTTAATCTCAACTTTCCCCCTCGGCGGTTTCCAATCATGGCGCCTTTTAGTCTCCCCATGATGACGCGACTTAATACTTTGCTTCGAGTGGGCGGGAGCATGATTCCGTTCGGGTCCTTACACAGGCTTAAGTCACCTTTCTTTGCCAGCATGACAACGTTCCTTTCCTTCCGATAATCTTGACACAAGCCATATATATATATCATTAAGTAGTGAAGTGTCTCGACAAAGTTGTTTTAATTCGCGAATTTGTACAGTACAGTACATAGTGTACGTCACTGCTTCCTTCTATGTAGAAAGTGAGTAGAATGAAGAACGATTAACACATTTTGGAGCGTTGAATATCTTGTTTTTGATAATGAATGATATTTGTCCTAAAATTTAGATTATTCGCTTCACTGCAATAAATGTTTGAAAATTTCAACTTCAATCCAAAATAGAGGTAGATTTACCCAACGCTGATGTTGGGAAGTTCTTTGATCAAATATATTTCAGGGGTTAAAAAGTGTCAAACATTTGTCATCCTAAAGAAACTGGAATGGAAGTAGGAGGTTATAAAGTAGATTAGTGCGAACAGATAACATCGCTTGATTGCAAACATTTTTGCTCATACCACATCTGTTTGGAATGGAAGTAATTTTTGGACTGTTCAAAGTTGTTAATTATGAAGGGTTATTTACTTAACGCTTCATCTAATATGGAGACAAAATCCCTCAGTTATAGGTGTATGTATGTATCCTTTGCCTTTTTGGTTTTACAACAGCGAAACAGACATATTTGAACTGTAGTACTACTACTACTATTGCATGTACTATTACGAATACTAAACTTTCTTGCTATAATTTGTTTTCCTCAGAATGGTGTTTAGTAATCTGGTAATATGTTTTCACAAAACTTGAACAAACAACTGTATTTATTGTTTGCATTTGTATTCGAAATTCCGTAGCTGTTGATACTGTTTGTTATTTATCATTATCTCAAGAAGTATTTTTTTACCACGACGGTTTTTATCTCCACTTCATAAATCTGACTATCCACCCACTCACACCCACACGCAAACACCTCAGTTTAGATACATGAGCAGTTTATGGAAATTCTTAATGTCTGTAGCTGTCAAAAAGCTTATTAACTGAATATTATTTTCTAGTGTTCAGGTTGTCTTGAAACTTTATATTTAGTAACTAATCCAGTGAGACGTGTATTGTCTTCCCATCTGTTAACTTCATAGAATTATCTAAATTGCGTGTTAGGTAATAAAAACGCCTGGAAATTAAAGTTCACTACGATTACGTCTCAGTTTCCTTTTTTCAATCTCATAAAGATTGGATTGGAATTGGATTG